TGGGCATACGTAACACGCTTCCCAGCCATCTCAACTGATGAGGTTTCACTACTTCATAAATCGATTTGCCATCCTTACCTACTACTCGTTTCCTAACGACTCGGTGGTCTCAGGATATACGAGCAATGCTTTGAAGACACACCTGGTTTGTTCAGTTTTTATAAAGATAATTTTAAATGTTTGACCTCTAAGATAGTGTATTATATTACAACAGTTATATTCAATGATTAGTATATACATTTATGTGAAACCTCTTTTTCCTATGAGATGTAAACATCATAATTATACTTAGTTTTAAATGGTGAACTTAAATATTTTTTAATCGTTAAAATCTTCCTCTAATCACTGCTAGAATTCTTTAATAACATCAAACTTCATCTCTTTCAGACCGTCGAAATTGAAGAACACTTTTAATGAAACACAAACACGAATTTTGTAATCTTACAACTTACACAAGGTAGGAGAATATCATTGTTAGATAAGAAATACTTTAGACAAAAAACAACTGATAAAACGTTTACATAAGATAAATTACATTATCATAGAAATCATATTCAATGAAAATAATTGAAACAATTGAAGCAGAAATGTCAATAAAAGTAAATAGACCTAGTACTACTGTGGTATGTGCTACTTATGTCGATATAAGTAGTATATAACACTAGTCAGAAGTGTAATGCTCAGCAGCAGAAGGTTGGCAAGATTGAATCGAAGAGAACGAAAACAGAGATTAATTGTCATGGCAATGAAGAAATGATGAAGTTTAAAACAATTGACGGAAGATTTGCAAAGAAAGTATAGAACGCATAGTTTTCACATTTTACTAAAGAACTCTGTAATTTTGTATGGTGTATACAATATATCCTGACAGATATAAGTAGTATGTAGCAGTAATCGGAAGTAAAATACCTGCCACCAGAAGATTTAATTAAACAGAACAAGGGAAACAAAGAACAATTGGAATAACAACAGAATTGTAAGAATCATTAAGTATGTAAAAGACAACTGAAAGAAGATGTACAAATAATGTATTTAATATATGATTTTCATATTTTATGAGGGCATTGTGTAATTTTGTATAAGACAATAAATTAGTCTTCCATACCCTGAGTTCTTATGCGTTACAATACTACAAATACTGTAATGTTATGTACTTATATCCATATAAGTAGTATATGGTGATGGTCAGACATAGAATGTATTTTGGCAGAAGATCGATAACGAAAGAACAGAAACGAATTACATTCGATATGAAAATGTATAAATAATGAAATCAGAGAAGATGGACTGATATTTACAGAAGGAACAATGAAGATTGAGAGAACTAATTGTTATTTTGCAAATTAACTGTTAACTGTATGGTAAGCAAAGATGGATAGTGGCTAGCAAAAGGATCCAGGACGCGCGTTTCGCCCTATTTGGAACTTGTCAGCTGGATGTATCTGCATCTCAGAGTTCATGTTCACTCTGGGACTCGAACCCAATACCTTTCGCTTCAAACGCCATCACGTTATCTACTCGGCCACTGAGTCTATCTTTGCTTACCATGCTTGTGAATTAAGGCTATATCAAGGCAATACGCACAGTATGCACATATGCCAATTAGAGACTGACCAGTTACATTCCTAACATATCGATGAGAAGATTCAAACAAACAATACTAGATGATTGTTTACTGTATGATTATCAGAATTTAGTGAGATAATCTGTAATTTGTGCTTAAATACATTCGATTATCCTCATCCGTATTCTCGTTTACTACAATACTACTAAAACTACTACTACTAGAACTACTGAGAGCACTCTATACATGTTACCAACTAGTTCATTTTTTTCCAAAATTAAACTGTGAATATGAAACTAGTTCGATCATTTCTAAAACATTAAACTGATTCAATTTAATAATAGTTCAAATAATGAAACCAATGTTACTTATTGTCTATCATGATTATTGTCAATATATAAGAAAAAGAAGAAAAAAAAACAAACGATATATAAAACATAATTACAGCTTATAATGTTTTATTTCATATATGAACAAGTTTGAACCTGTTGTTATGGTAAAAGAAAAAACTAAATGATGATGGTTGTGTGTATGTGTGTGTGTGTAAAAACATCAAGTTACTCTGCAACAACAACAACAAACAAAAAAAGAAACATCATGTTGTAATGAAAGTATAGAAGAAGAAGAAAAAAAATAGAAAAAACTGATAGATCTTTTTTTTTTTAAAAAAAAAAAGAAGAAACATATCAAAATGATCATTTCACAATTGTCCTCTATTCTTTTATTACATAATTTATAGTCATTCAATAATAATAATAATAATAATAATAATAATGTGAATATTCTGTGTGTAGAACAGTATGAGAGAATATGGTTCAGTGTAGTATATGTATATATAGATAGATAAATAAAAATAATCACAATATAGTCGTCAAAACAATAAACCGTAAACAGTAAACAGTATGATTTTCTACGGAACTTTAGTCAATAATAATAATAATAATAATAACTACATAGATAAGTATACCATACATTAAGTTGACCAAGAATTGAGTAGTATATTAGTTCAGTATGATTTTCGACAGAACCTTAGTCAATAGTAATAATAATAATAATAGTAATCATAGTAATAGTAACCCGATAAAATATACCATACATTAAGTTGACCAAGAATTAAGTAGTAATAGTAGTAGTAGTAGTAGATTAGTTCAGTATATATATATATATATATAATATCGAAAGTTGAGAAATAAATGTACACTTAAACACATAAGAACGTTAAATAGAAAAAGAATAGAGAGAGAGAGAGAGTGAAAGAGAGAAAGAGAAAAGAAAAGAAACATTAACGAAATTTATGAATTATTAATAAAATTACTGATTTAATGGACAATCATCATGGATACAAATCATTCGAAAATGATTATTATTATTATTATTATTATTATTAAAGTTGTACTAAATTCTAGATATCACTATTTAAGATAAGAAAGAGAGAAAGAGAAAAGAATGAGTTTGATCACTCAGTTACACAAAAAAATCAATGTGATTATTTGTAATTGAATAGTTACATTGCTACACTATAATACAGTTATAACTAGAAAGAGAGAGAGAGAGAAAAAAAAGGTAACTACAGTTATTAATTCGGTACCATTTCTTTTCATAGTTGAAATCATGAATCAATTGAAGCTAGACCACCATGGAAAACCTAGAAGCATTGGATGATTTTAACTATGTAAATATATTAAATTCTCCACGAAACCCATTCTGATATATAATCATATGCTTACTAGTGATTGACTTCAAGAGATATTTCCTGAGGTTCTAGTGGGAAGCAGTGACCAGTGGAGTTCTACCAAGTTTGTTGTAGAGATATCAATTCACTGAAGACAATTGGTGAACGGTTGCTTAAACTTCATGGATTGGTTGAAGTTAAACATTAACACCGTTGGATACCGGCCGGCTCAGTGGTCTATCGGTTAAGTACTCTGGCTCGAGACTGGTAGGTCCTAGGTTCGAATCTCACGAGTGCAGGATCGTGGATGCGCACTGGTGAGGAGTCCCATAATAGGACGAAACGGCCATTCAGTGCTTCCAGGTTTTCCATGGTGGTTTAGCTTCAATTGACTAATGATTTCAACTGTGAAAATACTAAATTCTCCACAAAACCCCATCTGATCTATTCTAAAAGTATTCAGTGTATTACAATATTATTTTCTTTAAACTAATTCATTCATACTAACATTACTAATGAGGCAAGTCCTAACTTAGAATCCGGAAGGGAAAAGGAAAGCCAAAGAAAATATCACGTCGGAAAATAGAAGCAGATATGAAAAGGGTGAATAACAACAGGAAAGAACTGGAAAGGATTGCCTAGGACAGAGTTGAGTGGAGAATGCTGATGTGCGGCCTATACTCCTCAACGAGGGGTAACAGGCGTAAGTAAGTAAAGTAAGTAACATTACTAATAAGATTTAAGTCAACACAGCTCAACTCAATTGATGCAGTAAAATAGCGAAATTATAATTAATGTACAGATGAATTCAACTGACGAGTCCCGAACAGAACGAAACATACGTCTAGGATTCCAATGCTACCTACTATTTATCTCTGTTTAAAGTGTTTGTGACTTACTGACAATATCGAGACAAGCCATACAGGATGTAGTACATATGCCAAAACTTATTGGATCAGTTCCAATCCTAAACATCAATATGGGAACTTTCAGTATTAGGAGAGATTATATAAACAGAAATGTAGATAACATCAGTACATCAATCTTTTCTGTACATATACAGTCGTGGAGATAAGAGAGTTATTAGGAGGTGTAGGAAGGATTTGAATGTAACGAATTTGGTCTCGTGTGCAGTTATGGGTATGAGGGCTAATATCACTTCCCGACTGCGCATACGGTGGAAGGGTATTTCTTGAGGGACCTGAAAAAGAAATTGGATTAGTGTTGGTCATAACGACCTGGGAGCGTGACCGCAGTGCCCAAGGGACAACTACTTGAGGACAGTCACGCACGGCCTTTTGTGGGGGATTTTTGACATGTTAACTTCGTTCTTCAAAGGACCTTACCGAAGAGATGGAAATCCGTGGGATAAGGCGAGGTGTGCATTTCTAGGGTCGATCTTTTCTAACCCCACTCCTCCTTGTGGGAAGGCAGAATCGCTTTCATGCTGGTTGTCTGAAGGAAACACCTTACTACCGTCACAACTCTGTACGGTCGGCAGTACGACTTAGCCTTTAGACCTTGGGATTTCTGCTTTTAGTCTTACCACTCTTCAACCGACCTGTCTGGCATGGTAGGACCTTGGAGAACGATTGTTCCAGCCGGTATAGCTCGATTGGTTTATCACGATAGGCAAGCCCGACCACCACGTCAAGGTAGCAGCAACATATACATTGATAATTTTTCATTTTAAAAAGAAAGATACTAGATAAGATCAAACTAACTATCATATGTAAACAAGATATAATATACTGTTTTACTTACCATGAAATGGTGTTGGTGATTTATTTATAAAATTAATAAGACCTTGTACATGATGTGACATGTTAGAATTATTGGAATGAAGTAAAAGTAATTGATTTCTTAATAAATCACTATTTAATAATAAAGTAGAAGGATCGTTTGTTATTGATATTGATGTAGTCGGTTGATGAACTTTGATTGAATCGGTAGTTCCACAACAATTAACTTGATTGTCAATATTATTATTATTATTTAATAGATTTATTCCACTTTTTGTTACAGCTATAGATGTTGGGGTTACGGTTGTTGTTGTTGTTGTAGTAGTATGAATGGATGAAGAATTTGAAAAATTTACCGAGTTAATCCGTTGCTCTTGTAATGATGATAATGATGATGGCGGTGGTTGTAATATGCTCGGTCCAAATGTTGAAAGTAAATCTATGGCTTTGGAACCAAGCGAACTCCAGAATAAAGTGTTTGCCAATTGCCGCTGTATAAAAACATGTATAAAAGTAAATATTTTAGGAAATAAATTGAAAACCTGAATATAATGCACAAAATAACACGAAGTAGAAATGTAATACTATTTACCTACCTACTTGCACATTCCAGAGAAGTATGTCAGACTAATAAAGCGCTACACTAAGAATCTCAATTTATTGAACTTCAGTCCAATAAACTAAACTGTATGACTAATGCCTACAATAGTTATTACTAATAATAAAATTTATAAGTAGTTGTTAATGTGTTGGATGATTACATAAATCAGAGGGGGTTTTGTGGAGAATTAAGTATTTTCAAAGTTGAAATCATGAGTCGATTGTAGCTAGACCATCATGAAAAACCTGGAAGCACTGCTTTAAGGCCGTTTCGTCTTATTGTGGGACTCCTCAGTGGCAGTGCGCATCCACGATCCTGCACTCGCGAGATTCGAACTCAGGACCTACCAGTATCGAGCCAGAGCACTTAACCGATAGACCACTGAGCCGGCATCATCATCATGTAATTAACGTTTTTCGCGGAAACAACATATTAACCATTATTCGGTAGAAACTCAGTTAGAGTTACCTAGCATAATTTAATTTATAATTATTAATACTAGCTTTATTATTGGTAAAATAGAGAGTTTTCAGCACAAAGTATTTCAACAAGTTTCCGTTTCTTAGTTGTTGATCGATCCTGATGATAAATATTTGAGTGATCGCTAGTTAGATTGATGTTATCAGTTCAAAAATCAACATTTGAATAATGTTCATTCTATTCGATGCATATTTCTAACAACCATTTTGTACCGACCAATAAACCAACTTGGAAGTACTGGACGGCCTTTTCGCACTGCTGAGGAGCCCCATAATGGGGCGAAACGACCTTCCAGTGCTTCCAGGTTTTCCATGGTGGTCTAGCTTTGAATGATTCATGATTTCAACTATTAAAATTACTATAATATTCACAAAACCCTTTCCAAATTTTTTTTTAGTAAATTATGTAAATAATTAAAAGTAATTAAAAAGGCTAGTTTGTATATAGGTAGCTGAAGAGAAAGCAACAAAATATAATGAATACATTGTATTCGGCTTTATTTATTTACCTATTTGAACACATAAATATTGGTATAAAGAGGCACTCAATATGTATGCGCCACCCAACTTACTTGATTTGTGTGAGGGCTGGGATACTACCCGAGTGCCTAAACGGAAACAAGTGGTTTTCTTAAAGGGCCACACCACCAGCCTTTGGTCTAAAGGTCTAATCCATAAGGTAGTGGAGCAACGTCCCATGGTAGCCGGTTACCGATAATTGGTTCATATACCATTTGTTCCCTCCTTGGATCCACGTGCACCAATGGTTTGCAATCATGGTTTTCCAACTCCCCTAGGTGGACCTTTCACATTCACCAACCCGAATAAAGCGCCGAACATTCGCTTTTCGTTCTCTCAATTTCGTAAACAACACCCTTGTCGCAAGAAGGTAGTTAGTAAGATTCCCCCGGCAGTGGTTGTACGCACATAGCCATGTGAGAGCATTTGGAGAGGGACAACTGACTCTTTACACCCTCAACCGTACCAGAGCATTTGGGGGCAAAATCATCATTCTCGTTTGGTTTAAATTTATGATAGGTACAAATTACAAGAGACTTACTGTAAGTAGGTAAACACCTTCAATAATTTAAGAAGACCTTTATCACAGAGTTAAACTAATAAGAATAATTACTTCTCAAGAATTAATTAAATGTGACACTCTCTAATAAAGACTCAATTTCAAGAGGAAATCTCAGAAATAGTTTTATAACATGTTCAAAGAAGATATTCAGGGATATTTAATTTAGCATATCGCCGTTTTCAGTTTTAGCTTACTTTAAAGAGGCCATAATTAAAGTGCTGGTGATAATGTTTAAATGAGATTGTATCGAAGTACATAGTGACTATGACGTAATTGGACAGGGTTTTAAATATTGCTCAGAATATCTGTTTAATTGTTTCGATCAATTAAACTGAGAGTTTAGCATTACACCATACATTTTGGAGGCACTTATTAACTTCAGTTCTCGAACGAACAAATGCAAAAGGTTCTTACATACTGATGTTGTATAGTCTACTCGAAACTATAAAAACTAGAATCTCTCTAAAACCGATCCTGGTAATAAATAATCTAATGTATTATAACGTTGCTCGGTGGTTTACCCAATGGACAAACCCATAATGGAAAAATGTCTGTATACAGTCTGAAAAACAGTTTCAACTTTATTATCAAAACTGACAGCATTAACTTGGACAGAAGATATACGGTTTCTTTTAATGTGGAAACCTTATTAACTAATTTCCCACTAAAAAAGGACTATGGACACTAGGTTCAGTCGTGGTGACATGTTTTATATTTATTTAAGCACATAAATAATGGTATAAGGAAGCACCAGATACATATGCGCCGCACAAATCTCATTCGATTTGTGTGAGGGCTGTGATACTGCTCAGGTGCCCAAACTGAAGCAGATCGTGGTGGCATGACTGGTTTTCCAAAGAAGAGACTGAAAGAGTTATTACTGTTATACATAAAGAATGTGCAGTTTTAATTCAACGAAAAGTACTACCGACAAATATGTCTTGCAATAAGCGGCTCACTGAACCCTACATTCGCTGAACTATAAAACAGTAAACTGAATCATGTGAGTGAACAAATTCACTCTATTTGAGATATATCGATGATATTTTTATCATGTATGGTAGTAGAGATCATGTTGATCAAAATTACCTAGGTTTCAACACAGCTTATGTAGATCTAAAATTCACGTGAAAGCATGCAGGACGAAATTAGATTAGTTTCTTAAACTTAACTACAACAAAAAGTAAAGACGGTTGAATTTCACGTTCTATCTACCGTAAGACTTTATGGATAATCTAAAAGCTTCCGTCCAATCACATATAAAAGTCTTGTGAGAACTCTGTTCATAAGGATAAACTAACTATGTTCGAATAACGGATTACAAACTCTTCAAAGTTAATTAACCGAGAATGAGTATCCCATAGAGTTCATAAATAAAAACTTTAGGTTGATAAATTAGACGTAACGACAACCCACTGCACCTAGAATAAGCGTCTATTAAGAGTAATTGACTTTTTCTGCTACAGACTTAATAATCATGTATGGAACATAAAAGACTATTCAGAAGATATAACTTGGATAATAGATCTCCTCTATTTACTTCCAAATGTATCCATGTACTTACTCGTACATGCAGTATTATATGTGTTGGACGAACATAAAAGGATACTGCCTAAAATAATCTGCAAAAAACATCTCAAAGAATTTAATCTAGATACTGACACCACCTTTCGAATAATAAATCGACAGAATAATAGCACACTTCGACGTTACCCAGAAGCAATAGATGTTCGTCATCCAAAACTAAGCTTATGTCTATAAAAAAGAAATTGTGTTTCACTTGGTCTTACCATGGTGAGCGATTTGCTGCTGTGCTTTCCCTCATCTTTATTTAATCGCATTTTCATCGTTTATTTATAATCTACAGTCGTATTATTTGAACATTGGTCAGAAACATATATGACCGACTGTCAGCCTAGATACCTAAATATTTCTGTCTTCATACATCCTCTCTAAATATTGTTATGAATAATTAATACTGTAATCATAACAACCTGAACATTTTTCCTATATCCGATCACGTCATGGTCTCGTCTTTCTCTCTCTCTCTCACTTAACCCGTTCATCTATATGGGAAGTATTGATAATTATCTTTTACAATAGTGAACTAAATGAATTGTTTTTCATTTAATATTTTTCCACATAAAATTACAATTATAAGACATTTTTATGTATTTGTGCAGAACAATGCCCCCAAATGGCCTGGTACGGCCGAGAGTGAAGAGAGTCCACTCTGCTTCTCCAAATGCTCTCACATGGCCACACGTATATAGCCTCTGCCACACAAGTCCTACTCACTTCTCCTCGTGGCGGGGTGTTGTTTACGGAAATGAGAGGACGAAAAGCGAATGTTCGGTGATTTAATCTGGTTAGTAGATGTAGAGGGTTCACTTAGAGGACTTGGAAAACCATGATTGCAAACCAATGGTGCACATAAGCTCCAGTATCTTGAAGGGACAAATGTAGTATGAATCAATCGTTGGTGACAGGCTACCATGGGACTGCATCTCCTGACATTGCTCCACCGCCTTATGGATTAGATCTTTAGGTCAAAGGCTGGTGGTGTAGCCCTCTAAGAAAACCACTTGTTTCGGTTTGGGCACCCGAGTAGTATCACAGTCTTCCCACAAATCGATTAAATTATGTGGTACATATATATTTGGTGCCTCTTTGTATCAATGTTTATGTGTTTAAATAAACAAACAAATGTTTTTGTATTTTCATTGTTTAGCTACTAATCTCTGGAATATTTTCATTATAAACCAAACTGTTATTATCTCTATAAACAGTAATCATTTGCAAATTCAATCATCTATAATGATATTGTAAGCAATGGGATCCAGAACGCGCATTTCGTTTTATTTGGGGCTCATCAGCTGAATACACCTGCATCTCGGAGTTGATATTCACTCTGGGACTCGAACCCAGTACCTTTCGCTTCAAACGCCATCGGGTTATCCATTCGGCCGCAAACAAAACAATACTAAATGAATTTATATTGATACTGTTTACAAGGTCCTTAATAAATCAGTATTAAGTTTGAAAATCAACGAATAAATAGGTACGTAGGGACGTAAACCAGAATATAAGTAGTATAACCTTTTAATGGCCCCAAGTGCCCTGGTACGGCCGAGAGAGAGGAGAGTCCGCTCTCCCTCTCCAAAAGCTCTCACATGGCCACGCGTGTATAGCCTCTGGAATGCAAGCCCTACTCACTGCCTTCTCGTGGCATTACTGTTGTTTATGAAATTGGGAGAACGAAATGCGAATGTCCGACGCTTTAATCGGGTCGGTGGATGTGGAGAGTTCACCTAGGGGAGTCGGCAAACCCTGATTCCAAAACAATGGTGCACATGGGCTGACTCCAGTATCCTGAGAGAACAAATGGTGTATGAATCAATCGTTGGTCGCCGGCTACCATGGGATTGCATCTCCTCACGATGCTCCACTGCCTTATGGACTAGACATTCAGGTCAAAGACTCCGGGTGTGACCCCCAAAGAAAACCACCTGCTTCAGTTTGGGTATCTGGGCAGTATCACAGCCCTCATATACAAATCAAATGAGATTTGTGCGGCGCATATGTATCTGATGCCCCTTTGTACCAATATTTATGTGTTTAAATAAATAAATAATCTAATCAACATACCAAAGAATAAGCAGCAGATTGATTTGTTAAATATGTTGGAATAACTAATTCATTTGGTGATGACACTATCCCACTATTAGATTCTAATAAAAATTTTGGAAATTGTTTTAATAAATTAATTTGTTGATCATAAAAATTTAATTCTGATAAAGTACAATGATTTTTGGTAGAATAAGGTAAATGAGTTGAAGGAATAGATTGTGTTGTTTGAATGAATGATTTATCAATTTGATTTGAATGATCTAATGAATTTTGTACAATATCAATTGAATTTTGAAGCTGTGATGAGTTGAAAGGTGAAGTAACAATAGGACAATTTGTATAATTTGATGTATTAGTTGAATTTATCGAAACAGTTGAAGCAGTTGAAACAGGAATTGCAGCAGTACCTCGAGTATATTGCAATAATAATGCAGCTATAGCTGCTTGATTAATAGGTAATAAATTCGATTGAAAAATTGAAGTTGATGGTTGACAAATATGAGAATTAATATGATTAATAGAATTAAGACCAAGAAATGAATATAATGCAGCAGATGCTGTAGTAGAATTTGATAAAAAACGATCTGTAACAATGTTATTATTACTATCCCCAGATTCAGATTGTAAACCAATATGATCTGTATGATCTGAATTAGAATGAATAGTTTTAAAAGGAAGTTTTATAGTTTCATCTGAAAAAATTTGACAACTAGATGTAGATAAACTAAGTGGAGTAGTTAAAAATCTTGAATTAGTTGATGAATCTAAAGTAGCAGTGTTGCTACTAGTAGGAGGTGAATATGAAACTCCTGTAGATGATGATGATGATTCGTTTGTACTACGAAGAGATTGTGTACTATCAAGAATTATTCTTGATTGTTCCGAATCTGATAATCCGTTATTATTTCTATTTGAATTGTTAAAAATCCAAGATTTGGCAGATTCTTCGTTTAATAATATCCGACGATCATATTCAGATGATAATTGGGAAATAGACTAGTCAAATTAAGAAAAGCAGAAACATATATTTATACATTGAATAAACAATCGAATGAAATAAAAATAATTACGTAAAATTATTAGAAGGGGTTTTGTGGAGATTTCAGTATTTTCATAGTTGAAATCGTGAGTCAATCGAAGCTAGACCACCATGGAAAACCTGGAAGTACTGGACGGACGTTTCGTCCTATCGGTTAAGTGCTCCGGCGCGAAACTGGTAGGTCCTGGTTTCGAATCTTGCTCACGAGTACGGGATCATGGATGCGTACTGCCACAGAGGAGTCTCATAATGGGACGAAACAGTCTTAAAACAGCGCTTTCAGGTTTTCCATGGTGATCTAGCTTCAATTGACTCACGCTTCCAACTATGAAAAACGTCATACACACACATACAGATATTGTGAAAGGAAGACTTATATTGTATAAATATACTTACAGAATCAGTTGGAAAATTTGTTGGACGACAACAACAATCATTTGATAAAAAAAAATTTTGTCGACTATTTAATTCACCACCGAGAGTTTTAGTTTCACCGGATAATAAATAGTTTGCAACTTGTAAGCAATCTGTTACTGTATCACTTGTATTCTCAGTCAAGACTTTTAAATAATTATTGGCTAATGAAAGTGGTGTATTTACATTTGTGGATAGAGAAGGATGGTTTAGTTTGGATTTATTAGTAAGACATAGATTACTATTCAGAGAATCATCTACATTCGAATGTAGATGATTACTGAATATTCCACTGTTAGATGATGTACTTTTCATAATTATTGTTTGTTGATCTGGTTGATTCATATTTTGTAATGATCCACTTAATGTATTAGTACCTGTCCATGAACGCATAGGCACTTGAGTAGGAAGTCCAGCAGCATTATACCAAGGGCTTTCAACACGACCTGATTTACAAGTGGTAACATTTGCGAAACACTTAGATATGTTGGATACACTAAATAGATTACTTTGATTACTTGTATGATGTTGTTGACTTGATAAACAAAATTCATTTGGACAAGAATCAATACCAGTTTTCTCCGATGATATAAGTGAACGAATACAGTTTAAGTCACAATTACTAGCCAAAGAAACAGTTCTGTCATTATCTATTCCAAGGGATAAGTTATCCATTTGGATTAATGGTCTTGCAGATAATTTAGAGTGTTGCTTATTACTATTATTATCCATATTCTTTGTTCGACTAATATTCACTTTACGAGTTATACCGCATGATAATTTTGCCGGTAAAGGATTCATAGATGATGATATACAAGTATCACCAGTCATTGGTGAACCGCTACGTTTACATGAAGCCAATGTTTGACGATTTGTACTTCCTGATAAGGTAACTTTTTTACTTGATACAGCCAAATCAGTAGCTGTTGATCTTGGAATAGTTTGATAAGATTTAAAACGTAAATTGGGTAATATAATTCCATTTTTACGAACATAATCACATAGAGATGATTTTGCTAAGTTATACTTTTGTGCAGCACGTCTCATTGATATCTGAGAACCTAATACATCATTTACAGCTAACTCCAATAATTCCCGTCGTTCTGCAGGTTTATGACGAGGACGTCGGACAGAAGTAACACTTGTAACAGTTGTAGGAATACAATGTAACTGACTATTAGTCGACGTTGATGAACTGAATGGTAATCCAAAAGTATCCAGTGATAATGGATTTTTAGTATCTGTTTCTACTTTTTGTTCTATTACACACTCCTTACTCAGTTGACGTTCAAGTATAGGAGGAGATGATGATGATGGAGATGCAATAGATGATTCCTGGGTGGATATTATTTGCGATCTTGAATCATGTTCAAAGAAATGTGGTGATGAAAAATCACACTTTCCTTGCTCTTCAGATGCTGTTAGAAATAAATTATCATTAATACCGAAATCATTGGTAAGATTTTGAGTTACTGAATTAATTGGTATATCACTGTTGGTATCTGAAGTTTTTGGTTGAGTCATTAGATTATGAATTATAATTGAATGAAGTTAACACATTTAAGATGGATAAACTGTATTATACACATGAGAAGGGTTAAATTTATTAACTGTTTGATCTTCTTCTTTAATGATGATATATTTTATCCTTAAAAATATCCTTGATTTAATAACCATAGACCATAATTCAAATTAGAAGTCATGATAATATAATATTATCTCTCATTACTTGTCTAATTAGAAATGGTATTCTATAAAGATGCCCAAGTGTCAATATGATCCATATGCAGTATGAATGCATAAATGTCATTCAACAAACTATAAGATAATGAGCAAACTCAATTGTGTGTGTCTATCCAAAAAAACAAAACAACCATCATATTGAATATGATCATCATTATGTATTGAGCAATCATTATTTTGTTTGGGTGTATGTATGTGTATATTTATGTTAATGCACACAAATTATAGACAATAACATGAGTGCTCATACATACACACACATACACTAATGTATTGTGTTACTTGTCCATTAAAAAATCAGTGGCCACCCTAACGTTAATAATAGTGCTTATATTTACACAATAATAAACATTAAAAATACACAAACACAACATGAAATAATCACGTTCATCATATTTCTTTTTTTATTTCTAAGAATGAGGACAATATAAGATGTATGTGGGTGTGTGTGTGTGTGCGCGCGCAAAGAACCGATTAAATAGATCGAAGTAATAAAGTGAATGATCCGAAATTTTATGAAAATAAACAATTCAATGTAAAAAAAATTTCCCGAATAATCATCTTAAAATATTTAGATATTAACACTGTTGGATGCCGGCCAACTCAGTGGTCTAGAGGTTAAGTGCTCTAGCGCAAGACTGATAGATCCTGCGGTCGAATCTCGTGAAACGGAATCGTGGATGCGCACTGATGAGGAGTCTTACAATAGGACGAAACGGTCGTCCAGTACTTCCAGGTTTTCTATGATGGTCTAGCTTCAATTAAGTCATGATTTCAACTATATCAGAATCAATGTTAACTTGTATATAGAAAGCTAGATAGATAGATAAGGATACAAACGAGGCTATCAGAAGTCATGAACTCATAAAAAATTATAATAGAACGTTTAATAAGTCAGAACATATTTTAATAACCATTTGATATTATTCAACACATGACTTTTTTGAAAGGAATCATATTCAAATCTAAACATATTGTTAGGAAGCCAAAATTATCAACAATATATATATTGACCTCTAATTGAATGAACATTTTTAATACGATAGTAACCAGTCAGTCAGTCAGCTACAACGTAGGACCAGGAACATATATGCATCGGTCCAAGTTGCCATACCTCGTTAGTACAACAAGATGAACACTGAATTCATAGAAGTAGTTAATTTAGTGGTGGTAATATATAAAAGAAAGGGTGTATATAAGGATATAGTATAGGAACGAAGAACGTTATGAAGCAATTTTAATCTCAAGGTTTAACGGAAGATAAAGAGTGTATACACCTACGCCATTGTGATCGATTCTGAGCCATGTCATCTAGCGTCTCCAACTATTGGTTACGATAGTCACGCGTACCCCAACCAAGTAGTCTGCATCTGCCAACATGGCTTAGACTAGAAGTTAGTGACTTCAAGCACTGATGCCACGTATTCAAAAAAACAGTTAAACTATAGTGTACAAATTACTTCACAATAACTATATTAGATGTATAGAATCAAAGTTAAGATCATCACAGAGTGATCGATCATGAGCAAGTGAAATAAAATGATGATAGTTGCTGATTCAAGTACTTGATTTATTTATTTAAACACATCATTAGATCTGTGTGACGGCTGAGATACTACCCGGGTGCCCAAACCGAAGCAAGTGGTTCACTTAGGGGGCTACACCACCAGCCTTTGACCTAAAGATATAATCCATAAGACAGTGGAGCAACGTCAGGAGATCCAGTTCCATGGTAGCCTGTTACCAATAATTGGTTCGTACTCTATTTGTCCCCTCGAGATACTGGAGCCCATATGTACCATTGGTTTGCAATCATGGTTTCCCAACTCCTTTAGGTGGACCTTCCACATCCACTAACACGATTAAAGGCGCCGGACATTCGCTTTTCGTATTTTTAGTTTCACGAACAACACCCCAGCCGCGAGCAGGAAGTGACTAGGATCTCCCTGGTAGTGACTGCATACGCGTGGCCACATGAGAGGGAGAACTGATTCTCCCCACTCTCGATCGTACCAGGGTATTTATTCAGGGTCAGAATGTAGCTGCTTATTCCAGTACTTAAACCTTTGACATATTCTTGTTAAATACAGAACTAAACATTATTATTAATTAGCCCATTACTAGATTATTCTATTCAATTTTGTAGATTTAGACAGAAAGACAAGAAATTTTTAAGATGGACAGGTATTTAATAAATTACAACAACTACAAGTACTATTAGATAGATTAAAATCATAGATATTCGCTTATTTTCACTACAAACTGCTTGGTAAAATTTACTGTGGAAACTAAATTTTTTTACGTTTTCTAATTGATTACGGTGGAATACGATATATAGCTAACGGTACTCGAACGTAAGATACCCTACAGTCGCAAATCAAAAAACGAAAGAGGCAGGAGAATTGATTTCTGGGTATGAATCTGAAATATACAGAAAAATATGAGTATTTATAGTTATTAGTATTGGCTATAACATCATTATTTAGTCAATCTGTAGGGAAGAAAGTTATGTTACTATCCAATCGTAGCATGACACGTTAACATTCTAGAAGGCGCGATCAGGTTCTTATTGGATGGAATCTCTTCGGCTCCTTTAGAGACTCAGGAGGCTTCGCCATGCTTTTCAAAGCCATCCCAACACCTTCCAGGAATAAGATTTTATGCTGGAGTGCACTTGTAACTTGACAAATGGTTTGCAACAGCGTTTTGTCTCTCCTGGTGTCCTTCGATTCCGAACTTTCATCCTATCGTTCTCCATAATGTCCTTAGAAGTTCCAATATTCGGAGTATCTGTGATTATGTCCAGTGAAAGACTCACTTGCCTATCTACCGTGTTTATTTTCCTTTTTTCTCTATGGATTTGATTGGTGTCTCTGACTCACGTACCGAACGTCCTACGCACTTTGTACAAAACGTTCCCCATTTCCTTTTCCATAACTCCAGGTTCTCATCAATTTTCCCCAAGGTGTAACTTGACAACCACTTTATCACTCACATTAAAATTTCAGATATCCTGATTTTTGTCTGCATTAATCCTCTGTCTTAGGTAGCAACATAGCGTTGAACATGGTTCGAATACTTTTCCCAAATATAACTTCGACAGGGAACTCTCCACATCTGAGCCACTAAGACTGGCCTCCAACCATGTCACCTGTCTCTACTTACTGACCTTTGTGGTTGGAATTCCGCACCTACCAACACACTTTAGAGTAAGTCTATGACTTTATGGAATGACCTCACAAGTGATAAATTTAGCAAAAACCAGCCAATATTTCTGAATACAAGCTGAGATTGCGCCCTAAACAACCTATCAGGGTTAGTGAGACTCTTGAAATGGCTCATATGTTTGACGAATTGTCTGAACATCAGTCCATTGCTTTACAGTGAACTGGAAGATTTAATATTGAGTCCTTAGTGCATACGTACTACAAGATTATGAAAGTATGAGTGGAGTAAGGACATGAATTGGTCACCGGTAATAAAGGAATATATCTAAATGCTCTACTCTATATTGAATAAGACCATTAGCACAAAAACTTGTTAGTCGGTCATATGCAAAGTGGAACTTGGTATATATGTTGGTAATTTCGAAACCCAGGATCTAAGGGAATACAAACAATAAGTGTGTCTCCATGACCGAAACAGATGCCGAGTCGCGAAACGTCTCCAACCGGAGCCTACCAACGTGGCTCAGTTCAACAGTCAGTGACTCCATATACTGAAACCAGGTTCTGATTTGGCCACCGCTAGTTATGTTATAACCATCGCAAGTTGATGTAGGAGATGGTTCGTCATCGAAACCATTAGCAATCGTTCCGAGGGAGCTGATTGAGTTCTAACCACGTTCTGACAATTATAGAATTGATCCTTTAGAACCGACTGATATACAAAAATCGGTTACATCCAACATTGCATGAAAATGTCGAACCAAGTAACATTTAAGACTAGCTGGCACACTACCAGAAAGTAGGGGTGAGCATTATTTGCACTAAAAACACGCTACGAAAATGGAGAGTAAAAATGCTTGGTGTTTCGAAAAACGCCTTACTTGTAGACACTAAGTTCCAGCTGGCTTCTTAGCTTCCTCGAAAAACCAAAGGAAGAAAAAGTTATATTTATGAGCATATATGGTGAAGTTGAGTGAATATGGGAAAGTGGACAACATAGAAGATTAGAGAGAACTGAAACTAATCAATACATCAACCAAACTAATAGCCCTGAATTTAAAGCATGAAGAACTTAAACGTAGTTATAACCTTGTCTAATTTACCTAACATCTAGGGACTGATCCTAGTCTTTTTTCCTAGCTGTTTTTATGCACCAAGTAAATTTTTAAGGAGCAGAATATGCAGCAGTAACAATAACCGCGATATCATACACAGCAGTTCTGCTTGCTCCTAGTCCAATGGCTAATCCAGAAGACTAATGTTGTTAAGATTTATAGGATGAAAAAAGAAGGCTCAATTCACATCCAAGCTAATTCAATGGTATGTCAAGTCTATGGTTATTAATTAAACAGTCTTATTTCTTGAGTGATTGTCTAATACAAAATGATAGTGAGATAGTCATTACAAATCAGTACGTTGAGTCGAACAATTAAATACGTCTGAAATACAACGAAAGTTAGTTGGTAGGATTCATGACGATACATTGAAGCTGACTGAGTGAAAATCACCTGAAGTCGATAATGCGAAATTAAAATTAAGTCTAATTTTCGTATGCTGTATTTATCCCTAATAATCGAAAACCATATAGAAGTGTTCCTCAGTTAATTTTGAATC